ACAGTAACAGTGCCTGATGAATGGACAAAAGAGCCCTCCCTGCTGGTGCATGGGTTAAAGCACAGTACTATGAAGCTATATGCAGCCACTGCAGCACGAGTTCTATCCCTGCCAGGAAGACGACCCACATGGTATGGCAGACCTCTCTTGATCCACCCACTGCTCCCCACAGCAGTGTATTTCAATATATTTGCCTGTTCTGCTTCAACTCTGTCTCTGGTGAATCCTCTCACTCTCCACACCTCCGGCCTGTAACCCAGTTCTGTATGCATAAATAAATAAATCTTTAAGAAAAATAAAGAAAAGAAGGGGACAAGAAAAGAGAGAAACTGAGATCTGTTACCGTACATTCTACTGTTTATTGGCAAGCCAAGGCACATCTTTACATTTTCTGTCCTTTTTTTTTTTTCAATTAGAAATTTAGATTGAGAGCTCTCCTCCAGATTCCAAGGTCCAATAAACAGTTTTTGAAAAGTTTTCCAATTCAGTAATATGCCAGCCAACAATAAGTATTTTTATATAATTTAAAAATGTAGAGAAGCACACTCTCAGCATAAAATATGACAGAGACTTGGACCACACTGTTGGCACAGGGGTTAAGATCTCAGTGCTCCATATCAAGCTATCACCAGCTACTGCAGCACAAGTTCAATCCCCTGCCAGGGGGCTAATCCTCTCTCTTCTGTCTCACCTGCTGCTCCCTCAACAGTATATTTCTGTCAGTCTGCTTGTTCTGCTCCCTACTCTGTCTGTGGTGAGTCTTCTCACCCTCCTCACTTCTTGCCTATACCCAGTTCTTGTATGCATAAACAAATAAATCTTTAAAAATATATATGACAAAGACAAGACTTAGTGAACATGAAGAATTTTCTGCTAAACCTTGTTTCTGTTGTAGCCAGAGCTATAATCTAGGAGGGATATGCCACAGGGGTTGAGTCTTTGATGCTAGACTCATTGTGGAGGTGGCAAGTACTCCTTTTTTTTCTTAAGATTTATTTATTTATGCATACAGAACTGGGGTACAGGCCAGAGGTTCAGGGGGTGAGAGGATTCACCAGAGACAGAGTGGGGAATAGAACAGGCCAACTGACAAATTATACTGCTGAGAGTAGCTGCTGGTGGGTCAGGAGAGGTCTGCCACACCATTTGAGTCGCTTCCTGGGCCAGGGATTAAACTCATGCTGAAGTGACTTTAGTTTCTCAGTGCTTCGCCTTAACCAGTTGCACCACCAGGGAGGGCCCCGAGGTGGCAAACACTCGTAACAGCTTCTAGGCGATTGAACCATGTCTACCAAATTTGTAGCTCTTTGACTTTGAGATTTCTTTAGCAATATTTGTCACCTTCAGTGTATATTAAGATTAACAACACTAAAAACAGAGCCTGGAGGCAGAAAAACCTATATCTGATCTTCAAGGCCAGGTAAACAATTTGTTGGGGAGAAAAAGGCATGGAAGGGCAAGAACTGGGACCCTTCTTTTTCCACAAATGGAACAAAACAGCATCTTGAGGCAAAAGCCTCCTACTTGAACTTTAGTTGGAAATATTTACAGATACATTAAGGCGGAATCTCCAGATCACCTATTCTACTACCCACTTGGTGCATGAAGGACATGCATGCTCCAGTTAGCCAAGACCAAAGAAACCAACTACAAAAACCACTTAACTTGAACAAAATATGGTAGAATCTCAGTTAACAAGAATCCCCAAATGTGAAAAAGACGGGAGGAATAAACACCTTCTTTGGGAAGTGACAGAGAAGGCTCCCCGGGGAAACAAATATCAATGGATCAATCCAAAGAGTCATGCAATAATCAAAAAACTAGTTAGGCCAACATTTTCCCTTACCAATTATAAATTTAGAGAGGAATAAAAAGTTTTCAGCACTTGGTTTCCATGAGATTTCCAGAGAGGAAAACAGGGAGGAAGTGAGAGGAAGAGGAAGAAAGTGGGAGAGAAGAGACAGACATAATGAAAGAGAAAGAACTGGAGGTTGACTTATTTTGGGGAGGCAGATTTTTATACCTTATAAGATTGTATCCATCATAGTCCAATAGCTACATTTCCCAGGCAGATTCTTCAGTTGATCTCATTTCACAGTAAACAAGCCTTTTGTTTAAATTCTACAGAGTGATAAACTTTTATTAATTTTCTGAAGACTTGCAGGTGCTTGGAAAATAAGGATAACAAGAATAACTTATATTTATCTACCTCCATACTGTAACCCTGAACTTTTAGTTTTGCCCAAGTTAAATTGTGTTTGTACAAACACAGTGATATATATAAATACAAATTTTGTATTTGTTTGAGGTTTTGCTTCATTACCTGAATTGATGAGTACAATATTTGAAGTCCTTTGTTGCAATGTTTGCATCTAACCCAAATTCTGTGTTAAAATCCTAAAGACAAAAGTGATATAATTCATAGGTGGGAAGTGCTTTGCAAAGTGCTTAAATCATGAGGATGGAACCCTGAAGAGTGGTATTAATACTCTGTAAAAGTGGATCATGAGGCCCTCCCTGGTGGCGCAGCGGGTTAAAGCACAGCACTGAGAATCTAAAGCCGCCTCCGCATGAGTTCAATCCCCACCTGCCCCGGAGGTGACCACATGGCGTGGCAGACCTCTCCTGACCCGCCCGCTGCTCCCCTCAGCAGTGTACTTCGTCGATCTGCCTGTTCTGTTCCCCACTCTATCTCTGGTGAAGCCTCTACCACCCCTGAGCCTCTGGCCTGTACCCCAGTTCTGTATGCACAAATAAATGAATCTTTAAAAAAAAAATTAAAAAAAAAAAAAAAAAGAGGATCATGAAGTCCTAGAAAACAAGGAGAGAATTTCTGTAATCTGAAAGAGTCCTGGCCCTACCACGCTGGCACCTGGGCCTTTGACTTCTAGCTTCCACAATTGTTAGCAATAAATTTCTCATGTTTGTAACTCACCCAGTCTGTGGTGCTACTTTCTTTCAGCACCCCAACTGCACTAACACAGAAGGAAAATGAGTATTTTTCAACATCTTAATTATACAAATAGGTTAAGATATAAAATATAAGAATATCAAGAAATAATCCTACCTCATTTTTTTTTATTTTACTGCATAGATAGATATAAAAGTGCTTTTTGCCTTTGTAGTTACCCTGCTTTATTCATAAGTTCTTTAAGGGGAAAAATGTATCAAACATAAAGATTATTGAATTCCAAATAATTACCTGTGCTGGGTAAGCAGAAGTATATTTTTTGCAAAATTAAAGTTTCCTTTAGTGAGAAAGTTATAAAGCAACACAAAAAATTAGAAGAAAAATGCTCAAGGTCACTTTAAAAAGAAAGTATAATACTTCAGCCAAGCCTCCAAGTTAATTAATTGAGGTTATTTGCATACCGAAAGACACAAAGTGATTGGGGGTGGGGTCTAATAGAGGTTTAGAAAGGGAGTGCTCTCAGAGCAAACAGTCTTTCTTCTTCGAACTGCAGAAAGAAAAAAACTAAGGCTAAACAATTTGCTAGCTAGTAAGGAGCAAGCTCAATTCTACCACGCTTTTACTTCACTGAAGATGTTGCATTGTTTCATTTAACTCATGCACTTAGAAAATACTTAAGTAGCTTTTATTCAAGCCATTTTGTAGGCTTGAATCAGACGTATGTGGAATAGTGGAAAGAGAGGTACTTTGGCATCACACAGACTGAAAACAATGAATGTTGGCGTCACAGACTGATTTGAATTCCAGCTTCCTGGATGAATTTCTTTTGTAACTGCAGTTTTAAGGTCAGTAAAATGAAGGGGGGGGGGTTGTTTGTTTTTAAGAAACGGAATATATCTCTTAGTGAACTCAACAAATTTAGTTCTCCTTTCCCCAGCACCACCTTGAATTTTCTAGAAGGTGAATGCTATCAGGCAATTTTTCATGGAATTGGGGCATGATTACCATTGATTTAGGCTATGAGTGGGCTCGTGATTTGGACTGGTGGGACATAGCAGATATAGTCAAATGTGAGGGCCATGAATAACTATTGTCCATTAGCGTTTCTCCCAGGGAGAGAGGAAGAAAACTTAAAACTGTAAACACGTTGCCTGCCTATTTGCAAAATTTCCTTCAGTATAATGTTGGTTCTTACAAAGTATAATATTACGACAACAGATTTTCAAGACATCTCTGACTAGCTCTCTAAAGGACACTTTCCCCCACATTGGAGTCTTAGTGATTCGTTCAACACTTATGACTAATTCAAAGAAATTCTAGGATTGCATCTAACATCAAATTGCTAAATGTGAGGATGCAGAAAATTAGACATTGTTCCATTTTTCAAGAGATAGGCACATATACAATTTAAGTAAGTTTAGAATTGAGAAATAACGTCTATAGCCGCAGCGAAGAAAAATTTTCACTCGGGACAGCCAAATTCTAAAAATTATAGGATAATAGGTACTTATCACAGGCTATATACACTTATATACCAGTCTTATAATTTCAAAGAAATGGCGTGAAACAATTTTAGCGACGCTCTAGAACAAAGTCCGTAGAAAAACACCGAGGAAGAGTGATTCAATTCTTACTGAGTTAGGTTCAGCAAAAATAATCCTCACTTTTTAAATATTTTTCTTAAAAAGTAGAAACCTTTTCAAGGAACACGCAACTAGGGGGACACCAAGGGAGAACACGGATGCCACAGAATTCCGACTGCGGTTTGCCCCTCCCACGTGGAAGATTTCTGGCAACTCGCACCTCCTTCCTAGCGATTCCGTGGAAGATTCTAACGCCCACTGGAGGCGTCCCTAGTGACGTCAAGAGCGCGATTCCAGTCTCTGGCCAATCACGCGGCTAGAATCCGGGGGAAGCCCGGGCGGCTGTGTAGGTTTGCGCGCGTGCGCGAAGTCTCCGCGTGGCTATATAAACATGGCTGGCGTGCCCGCTCGGTTGAGCCGCGCTGAGCGCGCATAGGGGCCGCTGAGGGTGTTCGGGGTTTGTAATTTTGAAGTTTCCGGCGGGGGCATCGCGGCGCAGAGTTAGGCTGGGAGGTGGGAGCCGAAGTGACGCCCTTCCGGGAGTCGCGCACCTGGGTTCTGCTGCAGCCCGACTCGCGGCTGAGGCGCCGGTCTGAACCGGCGCACGTGTGAGCGCCGCGGAGGGAGCGAGGAACTGGACCAGGTGGTGCTGCCGGCTGGGCCGTGCTGACGGGAGGAAGTCCCGCGCGCGCGTGTCCCGCCGCCCAGCCCGCGCCGGTCACTCCCTCCTGTCTTGCGGCTCTTGCGCCTCTCTCTAGCGATGCTGTGGAGCCGGTATTGCTCTGGAGTTGGGTTGACAAGCCTCGCCTCGCCTCAGCTTTCCGAACGGCAGCGCCGTCGCTGCCGCTGATCCTCCTGGGATGCCCGCGGGCCTCACAGAACCGGCCGGCGCCGCCCCCCCCGCGGGCGTGAGCGCCTCCGGGAGCTTGACCCTGGCTCCTGCCGGGGTTCTGCCCGTCCGGGTGGAGACCACTCCGGTGTCCCTGAGCGCCGTGACTAAGGCGCCTGTCAGTGTCTGCGTGGAGCCCGCGTCTTCCCAACCACTGCGGTCTCCCGTGGGAACCCTGGTGACCAAAGTGGCTCCTGCCAGTGCTCTTCCTAAACTCAGCAGCGGCCCGAGGCCGCCTGCCCCTCAGATGGTCGCCGTGAAAGCCCCCAACACTACAACTATCCAGTTGCCTGCGAATTTGCAGCTTCCTCCAGGTATGTTGATCACCTTTCCAGTCATTTCAGGGTCCAGCCTGCGACTCCACCGGCACCGTCGCAGCCCCGGATTGCATCTTCCCCTGTGGTAGCTCTAAAAAAAACTCAGAACCAAAACAACCTTTGATATTTTTGACTCCGCTGGGAGTGATTTGGCTTTACAATTAATATAGTCTCCGGGTCATTACTGCGTGGTTTTCTTTTCGTACTTAGGGAAAGGATCTTTTCGCCTGAGTGACAGTAAAAGGTAGAATCGCGAATTTAAGAGGGCCTGAGGCACTGGCTCTTTGGTGAGGGAGGAGGGAGGATAGCGAAAGTTTATTTTTATATAACGAAAAGACCAGTGTATAAAATAACACGTTGAGATTTTTTTTAAAAGGTGTTGAAAGATTCTTGTGTGTTGAGGCTGAAGGGATTTTAAAATTTGAGCAAATTAAAATAAAGTTCCTTTTTCTAGTATCAAAATGAACGGTGCTGCTTCCTGCACAGTCCTTAGATGGGTGGTGATTGTAACTTTCAATTAGAAGAATCCCTCTCACGGGGATCAAATTGACAAATCAGAGCTATGTGATTGTTATTTTGAAACAATGTGTGAATGCCGGTGTGAACGCTACAGTTCAGGACTCTGACAGCTTGTTAGACTAGTGTTTACTCTGTTGGGTTGTTTTCCATGATTTTTCCAAAGGTTTTTGCTGTGTGATCATTTACGTTTGTAAATACGCTGAATGTTACTTGAATCTTTTTTCCTGTCAACTGAGAGTCTCATGGAATTTAAGTTGGTGGGAGGGGGCACACTCTTTGGAATGAATTCTACTCATAATTAAATTGTCTTCTACTAATTTGGCTTAGGAATAACGGAAATTCTGATCTGCAAAGATGGTAAAGAAATAGAGGCTTTGAATAAAAAGATTTGATAACCCCCAGCAGAATGACAGGTGCTCTTCTCTAACCCATATTTTATTTGGTCAAGAACTTTGTGAAACTATTATAAAGTTCTGTTTTGTTTTGTGTGGGATAGGAGGTACATTGACTTGTTAAGGATGAGTGCCCCCTTTAAGTACATTATCAATCAATTCTAAATTGTCTTTCTGCATATGCACAAAAGCTTCTAAAATAATTATATGAAGCAGTGAATGAAAATCCTCCCTAATTTTTTAAAAACTAAATTCCAGTCTAGTCTGTAATAGAAACAAGAAAACTATCAAGTGTGAAAACTTGGAGAAAATGAGAACTGACCACTTCCTGAAGACCACTTCCTGAAGTCACTGTGCTAGGCATTCTTTACTCATTACTTATATCTTTTGTTGCTCATACTAGGTGGGTAGCAAATACAGAAAAAGGTGTAAGGGTAAATAATTTGCCTAAAGACAGACAGTTCACAGTTGTCAAAGGGAATTTGAGTCCAGGTCTATTTATCTCTACTTTTTGCATTACACTGTGCTTACCACTTTGTGTGTACAGTGTGCTTCACTGATTATCAGTGCTAAAAAGTGATTTATAGAATTTCAGAGCCTGATCATTTTATGCAAGTTGCCAGAACTGAAATTTGCCTGAACTAAATAGCAACAAAGTAAGTATACACAGCCTAAGATAACATGACACTAAAATATTTTTTTAATTGACTGATGAAATTCCCACAAAAGAGAGGAAATGAACTGTCTGTAGAAATTGGTAGTTACAGAGGAGCTATGGAGGCGATTTGAAGGGTATTTTGGGGGGATTTCTACTAGTGTGTCACATCAGAATTGATGCAGAATAAAATAACCAGTAGTTAGGGATGAGATGAAAGCACTGACTGAAATAACCTTTTACAAAGTTACGAACCTTATACCATTTTTAAAAATATGTTGAGGGTTTCCAGGTTACCTGAGGATTCTTAAATTATATTGAAGTCAGCTATTCTTTTTTTCCAGATAATGAATACCATGTTTGATTTATCTTTACTTGAGAATTTCCTCAACAAACAAAACTGGTTTTTGAAAATCATATGGGCAAAGTAGCTGGAAATAAATGGAGGGGAGAGCATTATGAGGAAATGAAAGAAACTATATATAGTTCTCAAAATTATTATGTCAGATATTTCTGGTAATCTCTTAAGTTTTTTTCTTGTGAACCTATGAGGCTATTTCTGATATTCTGTCTCTTATTTGAGTGATGAGCAAGAATTCGATTACTTTATATCATAAATGGTAATAAATTTGTCTATTGTCATACTGTGCAGAAGTTTGTGAAAGTTGCTTGCAGCATGTGTGAGGTCCTTTTTCATCAACTCCTTCATGCTGATACATGACATAGAAGTTGCATTGTCTTTCTAGGATTTCTGAGCTAGTCTGCTGTATAACCTAGTGGTTCTTGTTTCCATCCTGACTTTATTAAGGATTTTTACATGATCATCTGCTTCCACTGTTGTCACAGTGCTGCAGTACTTCATGAAATAAAAGGTTGTTCTTTTAAGTGCTCGCCATATGCCATCCAGTGTTTGTATTTCAAAGGCTGTGGAGTCAGCCTAACTGGATAGTGTCAATAGCATTGTTCTGTGGATAATCAAGCTCAAATAAAGTGCCAGTACTTTTTTCCCACTGTTCTTCAAGGCTAGGTTAGACCCTCCCATTATGTGTTCCCACCCGCACTCTGTGCTTTCACCACCATAGTACTCTCACACTCTTCTTATTGCATACTATTTTGATTGTAAGTTCTATAAAGGTAGGGACTCTGTCATGGACTTTATTAATCCGAGGGCTTAGTAAATTGTTTGGTGCAAGAGACAGCACTGAAGTATTTGAATGCATGCATGAGTATAAGATGTGGAGAAAAGAGGGGCAATAGGTGTAGCTCTTAGGGTATTCCAGGGCCATCACAGTATCAGTACATTGAGTTTCATTTTAATGTCTTTGTTCTGCTTGTAAAAGTAGTAGAACATATTTTAAGAAAAATTGCATTACTGAAATTTAATAGCTACTTCACCACATATCATTGTTAATGGGTTTTTTTGCATGTTTTTTATATTAGTGTCTAAATTTTCCTAACTTGTTTGAATTGCTAAGTAGTCCATTATATTGATATGTCATTTAGATCGCGTTTTCAGACTTTGATATTTGCATTATATTATGTATGTGATTACAAATACCATAGTAAATATCTTTGTGCATTTTAATAAACATGTATTTTTATAGAATAAACTGCTAGAAGTAGAATGTTCATTCAAATGATCATACTTTATTTATTTATTTTTTTCGGAGAAACACACACATATACCCTCAAGCTCATGTTATCACTATCTTTACATTTATTTATTTTATTGTTCATTTTAAAACAGTGTACTTCTTTCCTCCCCCACTGCACCCACCTGTCATCACCATAATCCTCTATATTCCTCCCTCCTTCCAATCCCTCTCTGTCACCCTCCCCTGTAGGATATCTCTGGCTTATTTGTCTGTTTTTGTTTTGTGTTGTGAATTTAAATAACAATACACTCCCCCCCCCATGTCTTATTTGGTTCTCTTAAATTGTTCCTACCCGTGAAACCATTTGATATTTTTCTTTTTCCTTCTGACTTATTTCACTGAGCATAATCCCTTCCAGCTCCAGCTCCATCCATGTTGCTGTAAATGGCATGAGTTCATCTTTTTTGATCGCTGAGTAGTATTCCATTATGTGTGTGTGTGTGTGTGTGTGTGTGTGTTTTGGAAACCACCCAAATGCCCAAAACTAAATGATTGGATCAAGAAGATGCGGTATATATCTTCTTAATCCAATCATTTAGTTTGGGGCATTTGGGTAGTTTCCAGGATTTACCTATTTGTAAGCACTGCTGTAGTAAACATAGGGGTGCACGTATCCCTTTGAATTAATGTTTTTGTGTCCTTTAGGTAGATCCCTAGGAGTGGAATTGCTGGTCGTATGGTAGCTCCATTTTTAGTAATCTCCATACAGCTTTCCAGAGTGATAGTATCAGTTTGCATTCCCAACAGCAATGTAGGAGAGTTCCTTTTTCACTGCATCCTCACCAACATTTGTTGTTAAGTTTTTTTGATATGTGCTGTTCATACTGGTGTGTGATGGACTCTCACGTGGTTTTGATTTGCATTTCCCTATTTATAAGGGATGGTGAACATTTTTTCATATGCCTGTTGTCCACTTGCAACTTCTCTTTGGAGAAATACCTTTTAAGTTTTTCTGCCCATTACTTGACTGGGTAGTTTGCTTTGTTTTTGTTGATTAATGTGAGCTTTTTGTATATTTTTATGATCAGTTTCATATCCATTGTATGGAGTGCAAAGATATTTTTCTCCAGTCACTAGGGTGTCTCTTTGTCTTGGTTAATGTCTCTTTTGCTCTGCAGAAGCTTTTCAGTTTTATGTAGTCCCATGTGTTTATCTTTTTCTTCATTTTCTTTGCTTTGGGTGAAGAGTCTTTAGAGATGTTATTGAGATGTATATCTTGTGTTTACCTATATTTTCTTCTGTATATTTTATTCAAATGGCAATACTTTAATAAATACTGCCAACTTGTACATCCAAAAGATTGTTTAAATGCAAAATCAACTTAATATTAAAAAAGTCATCCATGGACTATTTTCTTAACTTTATGGTAAGAGGAGGTGAGTGGACAGAGAGAGACTTTGAATGAAAAATGTGTGGACTAGATGATAAATATATGGTTTTGTTAATTATGGAATAAATATACCTAAGAGTGTTCTTGTTAGTTTGAAGTTAAAATAGTGTATGATATGGAACAGCCAAGAAATTTTAGTTCAGGTTACAGAACAGGGACTAAGTAGTGTATTAATCGAGTTTGTGGATAACAAGGGACTTGGAGAATAAGTCTTTTGGGGGAAAGTGTACATTTACAAAACAGGCTAGAACACTGACTTTGAATGAGCAGCACCTGGATTTGAATCCCAGTTCTACTACTGAATAGCTCTGTGGTCTTGGCAAATTTATTAACCTCATGCTCAACCTCATGTTTCTCTTGTCTGAAATGTGGATCATATGATCTTC